CGCCAGCCTTCACTGCCATCCTCACCTCCCCCTTCCCAGCGTCGGGCATGCCGGTCAAGTTTGACCGGACTTTGTATAATGGGCACAACGGCTACAACCCGGTCACCGGGATATTCACCTGCCCCGTATCCGGCATCTACTACTTTGCCTACCACGTGCATGTCAAAGGGACTAACGTTTGGGTGGCGCTTTATAAGAACAACGTGCCCGCCACCTACACCTACGACGAGTACAAAAAGGGCTACCTGGACCAGGCCTCGGGCAGTGCCGTGCTTGAACTCAAGGAGAACGACCAAGTCTGGGTACAAATGCCCTCGGACCAGGCCAACGGGTTGTACTCCACGGAATACATCCACTCTTCCTTCTCCGGGTTCCTGCTTTGCCCCACATAACGGCTGTTGGGCACGTTTCCTTTTCACCCACTTTAGCCATAAACTGTCTTTTTTTTTTTTTTTTGATAAAAAAGTTTTTTAAAATTAATACAAAAAAGAAAAATCACTGGGAAGAACGCGCAAGCCGTTGTCGTGGGACCTTGCTTCATGCTGTTTGATCCATGAGTCAAGAGGGCAATTGGAAAGGAGATATCTATCTATCTTTCTTTTTTGGGGGAGGGAGAAGTGAGGGAGGGGAAGTGACTTCCTCAGCAAAGCATATTTGGAATAAATTTTACCCTAGTGACTGTACATCAAACACAGGAACGCGCTTGGGATGGCAAGGATCTGGCTCTGCAGTAAACTGCTCTGTGATCCAGAGAGGGTCATCTGGAAGACCAGACCCTTCTGGTCTGTAATCAAGTGCCCTTGTTTCCCATTTTGAGTACTAGTTAAATAAATACAGCTGTTGTAACGGATGGTGTATTTGCTAACCAGCGCAGGTGTCCTAGGCACTTAACACAAACCTGTACAGCAGCAAAGATCCATGATGGATTGAGAAATTTCCTTCCCAAACCACCAGACGCCCAAGTTTCAGTCTCACTGATGCCTATTTTTTCAGACTGTGCTTTGAGGCAGTCTCTCTGGTTCACTCTGGATTCAGTGTGGTTGGATTTATCATCATTAGAAGTGGAACACTTTGCATAAGCACCTTCTTATAAGAAGTAAAGATCATTTTTAACCCTCCCCCCCAGCACCTTTAGGAATAAAAACATCCAGGCATTGGTATCTGGGAGGATGACAGACGGCCTATTCCAAAGCTGTTGAGGGAAGCTGGGACCCCTGTGATGAACAACGAGCCTCTCTCTCGGGTTAATTCATCTACTGGCAAGTCCGAGGGCTAGTTCTGTCCTGTCTGTTTCTTTACAGCCCAAAGACTTGCTTGGCCTTGCGAGCGTCTTATTCCTTGACAACACGGGGATGGCACTGCACGCCCGGCTTACGGTGCTTCTAGCCTGGTTTGACAGAAGGTTTAGTTATGCTTTCTTGAAAGTGCCACTTACGGACCACTTGCTTTTACTGTCTCACTATTTCGGGATGTGTAAACTTTTGCATTGGTATCCCCCCTTTCTCTGGGGACCTTTTAATTAAGAAAAAATAGTGTTCGTTCTAACTTTCCATTCAGTCATTTTACAATGGTGCTATTATCTACTTAACAATGTTTTTGACAAGTCTAGTGCAATATGTACCTGTAAAAGTGCACCATTCCAGGTGCCAGTCTGTGACTTAGGTTTAAAAAAAAAAAAAAAAAAAAATCACATTTGTCTGTTGTTACCACTTTGTCTCACTAATGCTTGAAATGTTACCGACCTGAATATCAGCTACAAGGTTCTGGGAAAGGTATGCACGGATACTGACCACCTGGCTGCTCTGTCCTGTGCTAAAGGGAGCAACGGAACCCTGTTGCTTTGCAGATTTTCTCGTGGTAGAATAGTCATTGCCACCTGCACTCACAGTAAAGCGATTCTTCCCATCCCAGGCAAGCAGCGCGCTGCTGAAGTTAATCCACATGCGTTACGCTGCATGTCCCTCTGCAAAGGCACATCCCTGAGAAAACAGCAACAATTTGGTCACCAGCTGAGCAACTATTACCCTTAAATTTTCTTAAAGCCTGTTCTATGGCCAAAGAAAAGAAATGTAGCAAGAACGGGACTCGGGATTGTTCTCCAGATGGACTGTACAAGATATTTAAACAACTTTTCTTTTTCTATTTCTGGTTGGTTGGTTTGTTTTTCTCCTTAAGCCTGTCCTGTGTTTCTGCCTCTTGCCATCCAGGGCTTCCTTTTAAAAACACACCTATCCCTGAAATGAAGAAACACAAAAAGGAAATTTACAGTTGGGAGGCCGGCGCTTCAGCTACTGCCCGGCTGGGGCTGGCCTGTCCCTCTCCCGGGGATTTTCTCCACATAAAGCTGCAAGTTTCATGTAAAGATGAAAAACCTTCTCAAGCTGAAAGGCTGCCCCAGTGTCTGATCCCACTGGACGTTTTTAACTCCTGAAGGCAGGGGGGTGTCAGGGCTGTTCGGGCTTCGATCGTACTGGGTTATTTCCCAGCGGGAACAGGAGCCGTACAAAGAGAGTCCCTAAAAAAGTGGAAGCTCAGATGTTTTCTTCAAGCCAAGGCTTGGGAGGAGGGTGCTAGGATGGGGCCCGTGTCTCCTTTATTGAAGCGTCTTTCCTGTGGAGAACAGCAATGAACTCGAGCTGGTGCCACGCAAGGCCCCGGCCAGCAGCGGGGTCTGGCTCCTTCCACCGCGCGGCACTGCCGGCGACGCGTGCGCGCTACCTGCAGCAGGGCCAGGGGCTTCTCGCGCCCCAGCCGTGCGCTGGGGCGAAGCTTCATCCCGTTACTCAGCAAAGCGACTTATTTATACTGTGTTCTAACCTACATTCCATCTTTTTGTTCTGTTTTATCCGAAACTTCTTGTTCTAGCTGGCAAAAAGCGATGACAAAAATACTCACTATAACCACACCGAGACATTAACTCGTTCAGTGCTGTAGATATTGTTTTGCAATTTCACTTTCCCTTCATGTGCAGAGCATAAACCATAATCAACCTTCCGCAGCTATATAACCTGTTACATTTACACAGTAATTGAAAGGCAAAGATATGACATGCACATAGAGTTAGGCTAGAAAAAACGATGCACGGGATGAGGGAGGCTGTTCACCAAACCGGACACTGTCAGGAAGAGGTTTTTTTCTGGAGTACTGAGTACGTGATATTCGCCAGCAGAAAGGATTATTTTCTGTCGTGTGTGTGAGCGCATGGGATTTTGGTTTCAATCACAATAATAAAAAAGGTTGGGTTGGATGAAGTATGTCTATTTTTAATTATGAAAACTGCATTACAATGTGCATTTTTATATACAAATTCTTACTATTTTTTTTAAATTTGCCTCTAGTATCTTCATTTCTAACCTAGTATATAGAGGTTTTTAGTTTTGTAAATACTTATTACATGCACTGTCTGTCATAGTAAAAGTTGGTTTAAAATGCACTCTTTTTGTGATCAGAAACTGGCCTTCTCTTCAGAACTAAACTACAGTACTTGATTGTATTGACAAAACATCAATAAAACTTATTGTATAAAAGGTGGGCTCAGCTGTGCCTTTGTCCTGTTATTAATGGGCTTGCTCGGCCTTGCTAGTAAGACCGTTCATACAGACCTCTTGCACTGTATTTCCTTCTCAAATCCAGCTCACTTGTTCCCAGCAGTCCAGCAGATTTGCTTGCTAATTAATATTCTTATGTAAGAAGGTAATGCACCTTTCTTGTGATTAAGGAAAAGATTCCTGTCTCCAGAAGTTCATTTTTAAAAAATGATGAACTGCAGACCCTTTCAGACTGGCAATTATTCATCCGAGGAATTTAAGTCAAAGTGCTGGGGATTCCCTCTCCCTTCTGTGTTTTTCCCATGACGCTTCTTTTTGCCACGTTACACAACCTTGCCCACAGCCAACCTCCGCATCCCAAGCAGCAAAGGCGGTCAGTTCAGCAGCACACAGAAGAAATGGTGAATCGCCTGTAAGCAAATCACTTTCAGAGGCTAGAAGTACAAAGCATAAAGAGAGGAAAATATGTTTTCCCACCTGATCTCTTACCTGGAAGAGGAGACGTTACTTGTTATGGGTGAAACACTTCCAGAGAAGCTTGGTTGCCACAGGGGCAGACTCCTTCAAAAGCTGACTAGGAAGAACAAGCGATTCTCCTGCTGCAAGTCGCGGGGGCACCCAGCACACTCCCCGGTCTCTGCGCGATCATCGCACGCTGGACTCCAGCAGCTGAACTCCTTCCGCGCAAACACAGCCTACAAGCCACAGCCAGCAAAGGAAAAGGGCCTCTCCAGCAAACCTCCCTGCAACGCACACGGTCGATGCTTCCGACTCAGCCTGCTGTTAGTAAGAACCACCACTCCTGGGCTTTTGCAAACTTCAGCTAGCCCGTACTGCTCACAGGCAAGAGTGGCCACCTGAAAGTAGATTTCCAGTGCTAAAACTACCCCAAATAGAGCAGGAGTCTTGGCTACAGGCAAGATGTCTCTAACCAGCACCGAACAACTTTCTGCTTTCTACAGAAAGATTTCAAGGAGCCGTAACAAAGTAGTTTCAGTTTGAGGCTTAAATGAAGCATGAGGTGAGGAGAAATAGCCCAGAGGTTGTCATACGACTCCTCTTGTCATTTAGTATGGAAGCACAACTTCATGACTTGAATGAAAAGACGGGAGCAGTGGCTAATTAACAAAGATTACTAAGTAATTTTATTTCTTTCCAGGGAAGTCAGAGCTAAATGTTTTAGTACACATTTAAATTCTGGCCTAAAATGAGCTATATTTTTTAAACAGGAGTTGTTCTGGTCTTCATCAGTTCCAAACATTTAAAATTATAAAGCTGCTTTGAAAGGAAAATATCTTCTTTTAAATAATTCTGTGAATATGTTCACACCTCTGGCAGAATGTGAAAAACCTGACATTTTACATCTCAGATCTGCAGCACGATACATAAATATACAATAGACCAAAATTCCACATGCTCTCAGGACAAGAATTCATTTATACAAGGAAAACCCATTAAAGCGTCACACACAAGACCGGCACTTGAAGGAAGCAGACTACAGGAAAAACTGGAACGACCTACCGCAGCCAGATTTTCCACGTGTGCATGCAGCCTGAGACACACAACAACCATGTGCCGATACCAACAGGGAGTGAACTCTGTTTCAGCAGACCAGTCGCTTCCTGGTGTCACAAGAAATACCAGGGAAATAATAGAGAATTACATAGTCACATTCAAATTTATAAACAATTCCGTATGATGACTGCTTGCCTCTTTCTTCCTTGTTGTTTTCAATTACTAAAAAGCTTTCAACCCTTTTTAGACATGCCATACCCAAGCTGTTACTCCCTTTTTGACCAGCTCCACTGGGCAAAGGTTTTAAACGTCAAACTCTGGAACAACACAGCTTTGCTAGAATGTTCTTGGCCACCAGTACTAGCTTCAAATGCACAAACTCTTTTAAACTTTGATGAATTCTCCCCCAATTAACCCACCTTTCCCTTTATTTTTCAGATGATTCTTACCAAGTACAGAGTTTTAAAACTGTGAGAAGTAACTCCTGCTTCCAGCTGAAGTCATTTTTGTCACTGACTGCAGCAGAACCAGGAATTCAATCCTTGTGTAACACCAGGTTTCACAACTATCTCCACTCACAGATTTAAACAGCAATCTCACTTGGCGCTCTGGACATACGTAGGACAGGGTTAAGAACGCAGGATGCAAGGATCAGGAACAAAGGAAACTGCTAGAGTAACTGCAGCAACGTGAAAGCCGTAAGGGAACACAAAATGCGATAGATCAGGACGGTGCCAGGTGGATCGCAGAGCAAAGGACTCCAAAGGAGCAGTAACTGGTTCCGCCCTCTTCCAGCAGTAACAACGAGCCAACTGGGATTCTGCCTGCACGCACCAAAGGCATTTCTCACAATGCCACCGGCAATGCAAAGAAATCCCTTCTCCAGTCTCTGGCACTTTTCATTCTGCCTTTAAGTGAACCTCCCGGGAGGTCTACCCTCCAGCATCCTCACTCCACAACACAGGTGGTAACCCGCGCCACCACGCAGGACATCCTCCAGGCTCTCCAGGGATGTGCCTCTCTGATGACTCCCATCGACATCCTTTAGCTGGTCAGCTGAGCGTGAACTGGTGTTTTGAGAGGGATGTGGAGCCTATCAAAGCCACTGCAGGACAGGCCACTAACAACGGAAACAAAGGCCACAGCACACAGGAGTAGAGGAAAACAGCAAGGAAGTCAGTGGATTCAGACACCCACCTAGTAACTACAATGACAAAATGACATAATGGCATAAGGGCGGGACAAAGCAAGAAGCAGAAATCTTATGAAAAACTAGACGCTCCTGTACACTTCAGAGGAGATGCACCTACTGTCCAAGGCGCCACATGCAGCCACTTCCCAGCTGAACCGTAACTGAAGGGTATGTCCCCCCTCTTCCAAACCAGCTCGTGCTTCCAGCTCTCAACTCACAGCAGCAGGCGTCTTTCTCAGGCGGAGGCTCACTGCTGTCTGCAGATGGCACGGCTCCACCACCACACTTCTGACCAGAAAAGCAGAGGTGACCACCCGCTTTGCCTTCAGAAAACACGCTCCCCTTGGAGCTCAGAGCCGCTGGCAGTAGAGTTCATACAAGCTATTTGCCAGCTTCTGTGTCTCCTGAAAAGCTTCACAGCTCTGCTCCCAGCTTGGGGGTATCTGTTCCTCCCCGTAATAAGCCCCTGCAATGGCTCCTGCCATGGTAGCAATGGTGTCTGTGTCTCCACCCAGAGAGATACAGTAGATGATGGTCCTCTGCAGGTTGCTGTAGTGATCAGGAATATCCGGGTCAGCTTCCATACAGTGCAAGAAGGAGTAAATTGCAGTAGGGACAGACCGCAAAGCGGCAATGCCATTACCTGTTAACAAAACCAACCATCTTCAGTGCTGCAGAACACTTGTTTCTTGCTTCCTGCAGAAGTACCTTTTCCCTTCTAACTGCAACTTCCCATTGCCAGTTACTTCCGATACCAGTATCACTGATTGTATCACGACAAGGTGCAAAAGTTTGCATCTCAGAGGAGAAATCTCCCCATAGTTCCCCTGTACTACTCACATCCTGGAGAGCAACTCCATCTACACCAGTACAGTCTGGCAATACGCATCTACCCGTTCCCATCCAACATGAAGATCTGATAGCCATTAAGACAAGAGATCTTAGAATATTAAGACATGTTATTCATTATAAATTTTTCTTAGCAAGACATTTTTTTCCCACCAATACAGAGAGGGAGTCACTGCGTCAGGAGAATTACTGACTGGTGAGCACAGGCAGCCTTTCCAGCACATTCTGTGCCTGACAGGCAGCAGAGGCTGAAGTGGCAGTCTGGGGGAGGACACGTGAACTAGGCTTGCTGAGTCAGTCCCGCTTCCAGTTCTTGCCTAACACTTGTAGTAAGAAAGGTACTTACCTAATTCAAACAATACATCTGCTTTGGGAACGCTGCTGAGCTCCAAAAATTCCTTTATTTTCTTTAGACGCCTTGAAAATGGTAAATCCTCAAATCCCAGCCTGAGGAAAAAAAAAGAAAAAAAAAAAGAAAGAGTACAATGAAGAAGAGAGAACGCAAAGAGCCAGAATAAACTGTACACAGCAGAGTTAGTGCTCCTCACAGCTACTTACGCTCGGGCGTCAGTAAGAGACTTATCGTCTGCCTCTACATCTTCCATGTGGCTAATGAGCTGCTCCAGGAAGGTCTCCTTGCTGAGTTCTCCCTGCAGGGCGAGATGCACGGCCAGGGCCTGCAGGATGGCCCCGTTGTAGCCCAGGGAGTTGGCATGGGTTAACTCAGCACTCAGCTTCGCAAACTGTGAATGAAAACACATCGTTAGCAAACCTACCTGAGAGATCACGGTGAGACTCGCCTGACAGCAGGGACTCCCAGAGCCGAGGTGCCCAAAGGAGCCAAGAACGGTACCTTCTTAACATCCTGGACATCAGAATACACGAGCGAGATGCCTGCCACCCTCATGGCACCGCCATTGCCGTAGGAGCCTTTCCCGTTAAACTGGGCTCTTGCTGGTTCAAACACATCATTGCATTTGGGGCTCAGGAGCTTCTTGAAGACGTTGACAACAGCCATCCCATAGCCCCTGTTGGGTTCCTTCTTGTACTCCTCAGCAAACCTGGCGCGGGCAAGAGAGCAGCAGATCCGCAGGTGAGAAAAAAACACACGGGATATTTGGTCTGTTACTGAAGTTTATAAAGAGGTTGTATAAAGCCACTTTATCAAGTGAATTAATAACACATGGATAATTCAGTGACAGTCAGG